CTGTCGCTTATATAACGTCTAGAAATGTATCTTTGCAGTTGTTACACTGTTATTGTCGTAACGGCGTGGCGCGTATTTTTGTTACTGCAGCCACGGCCGAAGTCGGAAGGATACGGTCGTACGATCGCAATAGATGTCGTACGAGTGAAGAAAACATGTTGAATAGATTAAGGTAGTGTTTCTCGATCTGGGGGTCGCCAACTTATTAATCGGGGTCGCTAACGTATGATTTAAAATTCAAATCAATATAAAAATTTAAAAGCTCAAATAATAAAATAAAGTAATGAAAAACTAAAATCAATAAATGTAAAACACTGTATATTGTGTACAGTACTATTAAAGTAATTAATGATAATCTATGCGAATATACAAAAAAATATATGTAAGAGTTGTTAAAAAATTGAAATTCAAAAGGGGGTTGCCACTGTAAAAAGGTTGAGAAATGAGAAATGTTGGATTAAATTAAAGATATCATTACAATATGTTACATCGCACGTCGTCAGGCGATGGTACCTCTATTTTAATTATATCGTTTTTTTGCGCTTATGGAATACACGGTGATTAAACAAGCATGCTCACCCACTTCCTCTCCTTTTAAACACGTTTAAAGACGATATTTTTAAATTCTTAAGATCTTAACCGCTTAATGAGTGATCTATGTAGAAACTTCTGTTTTTTTAAATTATGATCCCATCCTCTTATATACATTAAATTATTTAGCGGATAATTTACGTCGTTAAATTGTAAGACCATTTAAAAAATCTTGGACTAAACCCGGGTTATCGTGAGCTAAAAGACACGTAGTACCGAAATCCAAATTTTGAAACATTTAAATTTTTATATATTTTAGTACGACTTACAGTTTTTAAATGCTAATATCAATTTTTTTTTTACTGATTTGGATACATCATTATTTTTCTAATTATATAAAATTGCAAAGTTAGAGACATTTGAAATTTACAAATAACCGCTATTTTAGCAGTATTTTAATGATATTTATTTTATATTGGATTTGTTCTCGATATTGTAAGCGGAGAAGACGTAAATAAACACTATTGTCAACACTACGTATATTGCTTATTAAATTAGAAAAACTAAACAATTTTGCTATATATATGTATGTGTGTGTGTTTTAATCATTATTCACATGAAAATTACTCTATTTTTTATCTTAACTTAAAATTAAAACTTAAGTAAATTAAGAAAAAAAGAAAGTGTTGAAAACACATAATTAGCTTAATTATTCGTACCCATATTTTAGCTTCCTCAAACTATGTGGTTGATAATAAAGTTCCTAAATTTTACTGTGCATGTACGTACCAAAAAGATAAAAATGTTGATATTTTCTCAAAATATGTATTTTAATACTCCCTAGTCCCTTTATCTCCCTAAAATCGATTTCAATCTGAGTTATTCATCTGAAATATTATTTAATGACATTTCTTAACGTTAACACAATTATGTATATATATATTCAGGCCTTTCGTTGGGGGGGAGGGAGAGGGAGGAAAGGTAGGATTCCTCCGGGGCCCGAACGTTTTAAAGGGCCCGAAAAAAGATAACTAATAATATGTAATGTATGAATACATATAAAAGATGTAAAATTATTTAAAAAGCAATTTAATTTGAAAACTAATATTGTTTACGAATTTGTGCTTTTACTTTGTTACTTGAAATAGAAAAAGTATAAATATTTTAAATTTATTTGGTCTTATGAGAGGTTGCGGGAAGGAGGGTGACCGTGGCTCCTGAAACCACCACTGCTTTTTAATTATTATAAAAATTATATGATATATATGGTTGTCAAACATAACATTTTGTTATGATATGATAAATAGTATAAATTGATTGTATTCTATTGTAATAAAGAGGTATAACATTAGTAAAAAATATATTTTTATAATTGTATGTGAATAATTCACGTTATTATTATGCTGATTAATGGAGACTTTTTTTTTAAAAACACGTATGTTTTATGGGCTGCTTACGTGTGTAAAACGTTTATATAAGTATTTATAATTCATTCTTCCTATTTTAATTATTTTTAGGTATGTACCTATGCATAAAAATTATTACAAGAAAATAAAAAAAACTTTGAAATCATTTTAATATTGTGATTATAAGTAGATACCCACATTGTAAATATTGTAGATATTAATATCATTATAAATGCTTATAGAACGATTACCATTTTGTGTATAATAATAATAATAATAATAATAATAATAATAATAAGGATATCCAAAATTGATAAATTCTAAATTATGCTAATCTAAGTGGTTAATATGTATAATGTATATCGTATATTATATCATAGTTATTTTTATGATACAATATGGTAGACTAAAAAAGATTATTTATAAATGCTCTCAAATCTTAGATAAAAAAAAATGAATGTATTATAATTTATAATATACAATTTTAATGAATAGTAAAAATAAAAATAATATTTATAGACATTTTTTTCTTTTACTATATCACTGTAGAGAAAAGTTGCTTGATATACCGAGAAACTTAATAATACGGAAAGAAAAAAGTTATAATTCGAGTATATATAATATAGTATATTATACTTAGATATACAATACAATAAAACTAAAATAGATGTACCAGGTAAATTGTACCTACTACCTACATAAATTAACCTACGATAGATGTAGGTAATGCAAAAAAACAGTATTAGGTACACAATATAACCAATGAAACTAAATTATGAAAATTAAAACCTATGGAGTCTACCTACGGAAATAAAATATAAATACACTAAATTCTTTGAGAGAATTTCAATCAAATAAAATTGTTTATATTTAGAGACAATTGAGTAGATAAAGAAAGTATTCTTAACTTATTAAAAAATGGTAAATTCTATGGCAAATATGTATTGCGATTTCTCCAATAACTCAAAATTTGTTATTCAAAAATATCCCAAAAATAACGATTGCGTCTCTAAATAATAATAATATTTATAAAACAGACTAAACATTTTAAATTGAAATTAAAAGTCAATATAGTATCTCTTAAATATAAAAACTTCAAACTATATTATACTGAATCAATTTTAATTGCACACATATAATTATATGACTATTATTTTGATGAAAAGCTTTAAGTCTGCATAACATTTTTAAATGAATTTTATAAATATTGTTATTGATAACATATTTTTTGAATACAGTTTTTCTGTCGCTAGATTAACTATTAAATAAATCTGTCAATAAAGTTAACAAAGTTATAATTTTGATTTTTTTTTCGAACAAATTTTTTTTCTTCATTTGTTTAATTTTTCTTTAATTATAAACACATTTTTTGTAGTCGGCTATCTCTCTCTTAGGGTTCATTCTTAAGTGTATTTATTTCCATACATTTACAATCGTTTTCTTGTTTCAAATATTTGATTTTTTTTCTTTAAGCAATAAAAGAAATAATAAAGAATTAAATCATTTTTTATGGAACGAATTCCATCTTTTTAAAATTTATGTTGATTGTTGATTATATAATGCTTAAACAATAAAAAATTCTAATTTTAATGAACATTAATTCCGACATTTTAGTAATAATATCATACTAAAATCACGAAAAGGATGTAAGTATTTACTTTTGTTGTACTTTAATTTATCCTGAACATATTTCAAAGTTTTTTTAGAGTCTGTTAATCTAATTGTAATTTATTTTCATTGAATTCTATGATTTTCAATTGACTTCTTGTACATTTTTCCTGTTTTCCATGCTTGAATTTTCATTGATATTTTGCATTTGCAACTTTTTTAAACTATGCTGTAGTTCTTAAATAGTTCCTATATAGCCCTTATCATTATTATTATTTTCTTTATATTGTTCTAATTGTTTTAGTTAGTTATTTCTGTCAAATTTTTCTAGTTTTCTATCTAATTTATACATTTGTTATTTTGACAAGTTATAAGCTTATTTACCCTCTATATCATTTTTTTAAAGTGAATCTAGATAAACAAAATCGTGGATAAGTATTTTTGATTTATATTGTAAATAATACTGTGCATAACTTACTTCATGTAAATTTAATATTTATATGAAGTCAGAATAAATTTTAAACATAAAAAAAAAATTGCATAATACATTTTCTTACATATATTTCATTTAGTTATACTATTTGTACCTAACCAAATTAAATATAATTTTATTTATATACTTTTAATACTAGTAAGCAAAATATTATGAAATCTAGTAGTAATGTAGATGGAAATATTATCTTATTGTAATATTAAATTATTTTTTTAAATTGTGACAATAGACAATTTTTGATATTAGCTATTTATTTTATAATAACATTTAAATATTTTAAATTAAAAAAATATTAAAGTAATGTTTTATAACCTGTACGTATTAAGCAATAAAATAAAATAATATATTTACATATAATATTATAACTATATTTTATTCAATGGAAATAATATATTGCGTCTCAAATTATTAGGTTAATTTTATTAATTGGTAAATTTAGTCCGTTGATTAGAATATTCAAGCTGATTAACTGTATCTAAAATACAAATATTATATAGGTACAGAATTAAAATTAAATAATTATATTGAAAAATCTTATTTTAAATACAATTGACTATATTATGAAGATATTAAAAAATTTATATTTTTATCACAATAAATAATGAAATATTAAAATTAAAACATATCTCATTATTTTAATACATTAAAAATGTTTTTTATTAAGTTTTACTTAAATAAGCAATATCAAAAAACATGATTTTAGAGATGATTAATATGTTATAAAAATTTTGAATATTTTAGCAATGATTACCTATTTATTAACAATCTTAATTATGTAACTCACATAATCGACAAATATTTTAAAACGAAGACTTTACCTACCATAATATATTACACAAAGATACAAATTTTAATATGTATATTTTTTATTATATTTCATAACTTATGTGTTTGTTTTATATTATCTAGAGTCATATTATTTTTAAAGATTTTCTCTCAAAACTTTTATGTGTAATTTATATTATAGACAATTGATAATTACGCGTAATATTAATTATCATAATATAACAAACATCTAGTTTAATACGTATACATAACAGCATTTATCGATTACCAGTAATACTATTATGGCAAAGAAATAATAATTTATATTAACTATTGGATTAAACAGGTTGGGTTAGACTACTCAAGTAGATATTTTGTGCAATGTTTTGTATATTTTTTTTTTTTTTGTTTTTACTAAACATATTAAAATTAAGTCCAAACGAGCAACATCCGTGTATAGATTACGTCATGCCTGATCAAAGATGGCTGTTTAATATGTACGTCTAGCCGAAGCGACGGATTTTACATATTGTAGGTGAACACGAAGGTAGACAACAGGATGAAAGGGAAAAATTCTGATTTGCAATGGAAATTACCACGATCTGTCTTATTGAGCTCTCAGTCAGCTGATCCTGGTAGTGTGGCTATTTGGTATAAAAGGAAAATCTAAACGTGACACAACAATTGTCGAGCGCAAGAGCTCCGCACACACATCTAATAGCCACACTAACAACACATACACACACATTTGAGGCTTGAGCTGTGCGATTTCCGACGATTAAAAAAAAAAAAAAAATTAATTTTAATTAAACAAACAGAAAAAATTCTAATAGTATTTTAAATATAAATAATAATAATTATTATAATGGAGTTTGTATTCAGTTCTTTAACTTATTTGTTGCTTTTCGTGTTAACTGCGGTATTATTGTTCCTGATTCGAGACGAATTGAAAACGAAACAAGTGGACCACAATGCAGGTCTCGTCGATCCACCCGCACCCAAGGCGTGGCCGATAATTGGCCATTTATACCTGATGGCAAGATATAAGGTACCGTATCGAGTGTTCGATGAGATTATGGCCGATTTGGGATCCGTTTTCCGCTTGGACTTGGGATCAGTACCGTGTGTTGTCATTAATGGATTAAACAACATTCGTGAGGTGTTAATGATAAAAGGTGACCATTTCGACAGCCGTCCTTCATTCCGCCGGTTCAACCAATTGTTCAAAGGCGATAAAAACAACTGTAAGTAAAATGTTATTTATTCAAATAAACAAAAAAATTAAAAACGATAATTCGTAATTCAAATCCTAATTAAAATTTAACATTCATTTATTTATTATTATTTTAATAGCTCTGGCGTTTTGCGACTGGTCTCAGCTACAAAAAACCCGACGAGAGCTACTTAGAGCTCATACTTTTCCAAACACCACGTCCAATATGTACACCCGATTGGACAAGTGTTTAAAAACTGAACTGGCCGATTTAACAGATACAATAGATACTATGGACGACACCGGATGTGTAGACATAAAAAACATGTTGCTCCATACTTGCGCCAATGTGTTCATGTCATACTTTTGTTCCACCCGATTTTCCAGATCTTACGAAAAGTTCAGGGAGTTTATCCGAAATTTTGACGATGTGTTTTACGAGGTGAACCAAGGAGCTCCCTGTGACTTTCTACCCAGTTTGATGCCGTTGTACCACTGGCATTTCAAAAAAATTAGAACATGGAGTTCAAATATTCGCAATTTCATGGAAACCGAAATATTCAACAAGAGAAAAGCTGCATGGGTGCCCGGCACCAAGCCGGTGGATTTCGTAGACAACTTGCTTGATGCCGTCACACAACCTGATCGGGATGACGGATTCGACATAAACATCGGGCTCTTTTCGCTAGAGGACATTATTGGTGGTCATTCAGCCATCACGAACTTTATCGTTAAGACATTGGGATTTCTAGTGGATAGACCGGACGTGCAGCGGCGCATACAAGAGGAAGCGGATGCCGTGGTTCGGGCTTCCGGGTCTGTTGGGCTTTCCGATCGATCTCAGATGCCATACACCGAGGCTGTTGTTTACGAATCTCTACGGCTAATTGCCTCGCCCATCGTACCACATTTGGCCAACAGAGACACGTCGATCAATGGTAAGTGTCCGTGATCGACGTATAGCAACCGTGCGATCATATTTACTCAACATTTTATTTTTACAGGCGTGCGGATTCTGAAAGGTACGACAGTGTTCTTGAACAATTACAGTCTACACATGAGCCCAGAACTGTGGAATAACCCCGAGCACTTCAGCCCCGAGAGATTCATAAATGCGGAAGGGAGGTTAGAGAAGCCGGAATATTTCATACCGTTCAGTGGTGGAAAACGGTCGTGCATGGGATACAAGTTGGTGCAGCTATTGTCGTTCTGCACTATTGGAACGCTGCTGAACAAGTACTCGCTGCTTCCGGTAGAAGATGTATCGTATGCCGTGCCAAAAGGGAATCTAGCATTGCCGTTCGTTACTTTTCCCTTCCGTCTCAGAGCTAGGGATTTCCGGAAACAGTGACTCCAAGTCTGTCTGAAATGCAGATGATCCTGCAGTGGATACGAAAATGACACGCGTTTAGTGGCACAGATTACGCTTTTGTATGTGTGTGTGTGTGTATGTGTGTGTGTATGTGTGTGTATGTGTAAGTGTGTGCACGCGCTTTTATATGTGTGATAATGTGTGTGTATGTGTGACAATTATTTGATGAGTCTTGCGTAACTTTAGGCCCACTCCAATTATGTGTTAGGAGTGTGAGGTTTTGCAGTTACGTGAGTCGACAACGTGTAATAGCTATAGCTCGTCCATTCGTGTATAGTAATAGTGATTACTGATTAATTTATAGACCGGAAAATGTTACCAAGATAGTTTCAAAATAAATTATTTATGTTGATTATTTTATTTATTTATTATTTGTTTTTACATCAGTACGATTTAGTAAATATTACATACATATATATATATATATATATATATATATGTATATCGATTGTTTCATAGTGTGATTTGTGAATTACCTTTCTAGTCTTAAAAATATATAAAGGTTAGATACTTAAAAAAGCATTATACTTCGAAAGAATATGTTTTTAAAAAATCAAAAAGAATTTAAAAGAATTTAGCTAGGTTATGTAAGACTTAATAAATTGTTTTATTGATATTAAATTTAATATTAATACATGAAGAATATAGTGAGGGTATAGTTATAATATATTTTAAAACAGGGTTTAACAATCTTGATCCTGTATGCATGTTGGTAACTATCAATGCAGTCTGTCGGTGTAAATCACAATTTATAAGACTATTTTGAAGTCTTATCGGTAGTTCATAAGAGCTAATTTTTTTAGAATAAAAATTATTGCAGTTTGTTGAATTTAAAATAGTCTGTCTTTATTTTTATTTCTGTATGAAAAGAGTTTACCTATCGATCCCTGTTTTAAGATATAAGCCAAAGATAATTTATTGTTATTTCTGTTAATCGTGTAAATATTTATAGATTTATAAGTTGTAGTTTATATGTAAAGTGTATACTCATAAACATACTTTTATATTATTTTGTTATTTATTGTATTAATCAATATTATACTAAGAATAATTTAAAACTTGATTATCACATAATTTATATAGTTAAAACATTTATAGTATAAATCTTATACTATAAAATTTGTGAGTGTTAAAATTTAAAATGTGAAAGAAAAATTGTTTATAAATGTACTAATATCAAACACTTTTAGGCTTTTTTATGTCTGAAATAAATATATTTATGATTCTAAAAAATGTTTGAAATATTTTAATGGTTTAAAACATCTGTTTTTATTTGGAAAATGTATGATTTAATTTTGATATATTATACATAAATTTTGCTGCTGTAAAATTTACATGAAATGACAAATATCTTACTGATTATTAACTTATTAAAATTTAAAATTATTTATAATAAAATTGTGTTTTATTACAATTTTGTAAGGTAATTAAGTTTTTAAAATCATATAACTTTCTTCTATTGTGTAACATTTTTAATTTAAGTATAGTATTTACTATTTATAAAAATGTATTATAATAAATATATTAATAAAAGTGTACTTATTATAAATATATAAATTATGTTCATCCTTGAAAATTTTGATTTCAATAAATACACACACTTTAAGTAAAACCTTTATATTTGTAATTTTTTAATTCATCTCCCTGGTAAAAATCTGACCATGTAGATAAAAAAGGTATCTAATTCTGTTGCCATATGAAATAATTATAATAAATGAGTTATGTTGTCAAAAAATGATAGACATCTCAAACTATAAATATATTATATACAATGTATACACCATGTATACAGTTTAATATAAATATTTCATATATGTGTTGAATTTTTAAATTGTATATCATATTTCAGATAATAGGTATATATGGAATTTTCAATAATATACCTAGTTATTTGATGTATTATACATTGTTATAAATGTAATAATACGAATATAATATTTAACATTTAAAACATTATTTTTTCAACTATAATTACTTGTGTACAATTAGACAATTAGTTTTCATCAATTCATAATTTTTGGTTTTATACTTAACAAACCTTGAGATCTGAAGATTATTTTGTACTTACTTTTTTAGGAATTTAAAAAAAAAAAGATATATCAAAAACTTAATATTAGTTATTACAAAAGAATCTGATGATTTAACCGTGTTAAAATATTAAGCATACAAATTATTATTACTTACTTATTTCAAAACCATAACAATAGATTGTATTTTACCATAATTATATTATATTTATATAGGTTATATATTTGTACAAAATGCTTCACGAATATATATATATATATGTATAATCCATATTCTATTAATGAAAGTTTTTTATTATTATTCAAATATTGTTATGTTATATAATAAACGTCTGTCTGCAAAATATAAGTTTGCAAAAGCTATTCAAAATAAATCGAATTTTAAATTATATTTTCGGAAAATAATGATGTAGTCTTCTGCTCACACACAAAAAGACAGCACATTGCAACGCTCAGATCACATTATTTTTGCAACCGAAATGACCAAGGACTGAATAAATTATACATAATTTAATGTTTGAGATCGATCGTCCATCTTCGATCTTCGTTTGTACATAAAAAAAAAAAAAAAATGGTATATAAAATGTAATTCCACGATAGTCATTTGTGAATATATTACTATAGACGCTAACGCTTACATTGCTAGTCGCCTAGATTTGTTTTAAGCATATCAATGATTACTCTCTGTTATATGCTGTTTAATTTTCTATTGCGCAACAAATCACCATCGTTTTTTTTTTTTTTCATATTAGAAATTCATTTTAAACGCGATCACTCAATAATTGAAAGTATTCAATAGCAAAAGTATATTCATTGTTCTATTCCGAATGGAATGTATAATTTAAAGAAAAATTATCATTAAAATCATACAATAGACTAGGGACAAATCAATACATTACCAAAGTTTTTTCTAATATTCCAATATACATCTGGAAGTCTAGAATGCCAAGTAAAGTACCTATATTATAAAAATATATTATAAACGAATTACTGTATATCAATTATAGCCATTTCCTTAATCTATTCGATTTTATTTGACTACAGATAGTATAGTTATACTGTTATATTTTGATTTTTGATTTTATTATCGAAGCGAATGTAACGTAAAAATTTATTGTAATAAAATAAAGTTTATTATGAACTAAGATAAGTTATAATTAAAAAAATTGAGCACATTATGATATCATCTAATTTACACTTTTACAAGAGTGAAGTTATTTAAATTGCATAATATAGAAATAAACGTAGCAATAACTACAGTACCTATTATTTTTTTACGATTCAAATTATAAGTCTTATTACGTTATAGCTATATGTTATAAATTATAATGTATTATTTAATATATTTATGTATTAATACGTCCGTCGACCATAAATAACTTCTTCTTTTCTTTCAAAACAATATTTTAGTTATAGGACTTAAACATTTTTTGGTATATTTAATAATCCCTTATCATTTTAAAAATCATGTAGAATTACATTAATAAATAGTATTTGTAAATAAAAGATAAAAGATAATTATTGAATATTTTTGAAAAATTTTTTCCACCTAAAATTAAAAGAAAAAATTTGTACACTGCAGTAGATAGTTGATGTATTTCTAGAAAAAATTTCTTTAATTGCAGTAACTGTTACTGACATATAAAGCACAACAAAACAATTTTTATTGAATAATATCCAATCATTAGCTAAATTCACTACTTCGCCCAAAATGTATTTGAATAAGGTAGTTTCTATAACGCTTATTATTAGATATAAAATCTCTGCATAGAACATCAGTGGAATACGTATTATATTTTAACGGATGAAATGTTAATATTAGCATTTCGTTCGTGTATAGGCAGCATACACATTTTAATAACTGTAAATGTTTTTAAAATGCTCAGAGTCAGTGTCACATTTATAATGCATTTATTTTGAATTTTAAAACACTGCTTTGGGTCAACTAGGATTCGTAATTGTTGACCCTGTTTAACAATAGGCTTGTTTTGTAAATGTTGTTATGTCAAACATTGCAATCATGCGTATTGGTCGATAAATCTTAATATATTTGTATATATTTACAACAAATAAAGCATTTATTTTACATTTTGTTCAAGAAATGCGTTTAGTACAATTTCTCATTTACCAAATATACCAACATTTTTTAAGATCAGTAGATAAATTGGAGTGTAATTATAATAACAATATTATTTTTTTTTTAATTTTACTTTAATAATATTATATAGGTAGTAGGTACCTAACTATCTATTTTGTAATTTTAACTTTGATTCCATCATTTTTGAACATATTCATGAATTCTCAACCTTATTTCTTATGTAATACCATATTATGCGGTTTTTATATCTCTTCCTCATTTGAATTGCCCCTGATTACAATATAATCCGATACCCGAAAAATAGATAAGTGTTACAAAGTGAAAACTGGATAGTACATCATGACACGAAATTTACAGGACTATTTTAAACACGGGATCAAAAAGCTTTGTTTCTAAATTTACAAAATAATAAATATATGTATAAATATACTTATGTACATAATATAAACTTGTTATTATCTATGTATATTGTATATACATTGTAAATCTTGTAATCAATACACAGCTAAACAAATTGATAAAATATTTACACTGTAGTAATAATTACCATTGGTTTTAAATGAATAGTGTCTAATAGAACTGCACATTTAATAGTTGTATAAAATTAATAATTTAAATATTTAAATTCCCTACTTATTTTATTTCACGAAAATTAAGTTTATTAAAATAAAATAAATGAGAACATTTTAATTAGGTACTTTACATTATTAGTTTTATTCATAAACGTACCTATTACTTTATAGTTATTAAAGTTTATCATATAAGTTAATTACAAAAGTTGTGTTAAAACTAAGTGTGCTAATGATGCAAGTTTAAATTCATTTAAATTAATTTTCACAAGAATATAGAAATTTATAAAAAAATTATTAAAATATAGGAAGTGTTTTCAACATACAACAAACAGCAGACAGCTGTATATATTTGTGTATAATTATCATTCAAAGCATAATATGCTCTTTAGTCTTTATTTATAGTTTTGAATTAGTATTAAATTGTAATAAATAACTTATTTTTATGTAGCATATACCTACCTCATTTAAATTTCATTAGTTTAACTATGTATTTTTTTAATTAACCTCAGATTTAATTAAATTGTAAAATGTAAGTGAATAAATTAATTAATCAACAATTAAAAAAATAAATTATAAATAATTTTTTTATACATACGAATATTTTCAGCTATAAAATATTGAGTCTCTATTTTGAAAAAAAGTTATATCCATTCAAAAAATAAATTATCACATAATAGCAAATCATTCTTTGCACAATTTTATAT